TTTTTTTTTGTTCTCTCGTATAGCTTCTGTAGCTGATCTTGCTGATTTATTGAAAAGTGAACCACAAGATGATTATATTGTTGGTTTACAAGATACTCTATCTGCTGTATTTTCATCACCAACAATATTTTCACTTGCATATGTAAAAAAAAAAATTAGAAAATTTATTTATTTTTTTTCTTTCATAAAATATTTTTCTTTTTAAATTAGTGTCATGATTTACTTCTTCGTTTTATTCAACAACCAGAAAATATGCGTCCTACTTCAACAGATAATCTATCTTTATTAACATCATTACTTAAAGATCTTGAAATCGTGGGCATGACAAATAAATATGCACGTGAATTAGATAGTATTTTACGAAATCCACATATACGAGTAGAATTTAAAAAAAAAACAAAAGAAATTTATTCATTTTTTGTTTTATTCAATTAGATGATTATGGATGCTCATCAAACGATAGCAACACGAGAATATGCTGAAGAGCAATTACCAATTGGTTATTTACCTGATGCAGCTAAACCTTTACCTGATATATCATCACCATCATATATTTATCCCGGTACAATGCCACCAATGCCACCAAAAACTATTGGTATTGAATCAACTGGTGAAGAACATTTAGGTATTACTGTTAAATTAAATGAAGTGGGAGATTTAGAAATAAAACGAATTGTACAAGGAGGTTTAATTGATAAACAAGGTAAAAAAAAAACATTTAGTTAAAAAAAAAACAAAAAAAAAGATTTTGGTTTTTGTAAATTTAAGGTCTTCTTCATGTCGGTGATATAATTAAAGAAATTAACGGTGAAATTGTTAATACACCTGAAGAATTACAAGATAAATTAAGAAATGCTCGTGGTGCTGTAACATTTAAAGTTATTCCAAGTTATTATGATTTTCCATCACCATCACAAGTAGAAATTGAATTTTATTTCAAAAAAGAAAGAAAAAAACTTGAATTATTTCTCTTTTTAAGTTATTTATTCGAACTCATTTTTCTTATGATCCAGCAAAAGATAAATTAATTCCAGCTAAAGAAGCTGGATTAGTATTTGATGAAGGTGACATATTACAAATACTTTCACAAGACGATGTTCATTGGTGGCAGGTAAAATGAAATTTCTTAGATTACATTTAATTTAATTTAATTTATACATTAAAAAAAAAGGCAAGACAAGTAAAAGATCCAACACAAAAAGGTCTTATACCATCACAATATCTTGAAGAACGACGTAAAGCTTTTGTACCACCTGAAAATGATTTTTCTAAAACATCACGTAAGTAAAGAATAATAATAATAAAATTTTAATTAGAAAAAAAAAGAATATTCTCCTATATCATTATTCTTTTTTTCTTTTGTGTAAACAGTTATAGTAAGGCTTCCTATGTGATGATTTATGTCATAGAATAACAAACTTATGATATAAAGTTCAGCAAATTTTTTTATGATAATGAATACACATCAATGTAATCATGATATTCGGTGTTTATTGCTTGTCACATTAACATTCGAATTGTTAACAACTTATAGAATAAAGAAAAAAACTCATTTTCCTCTTAACCATCTTTAGTTATAAACAATTGCATAATTCTTTGAATACAATTGTGTGTGATTTCAATGACATTAGAAAAATAATATCGAATTTCAAATGTTAAGAGAATGAACTTACAAAACAAAAAAAAGATTTATTTATGTGAAAATGATTGAATTCTAAGAGAAAATCTAATATTTTATTTAGATTTCTACTGCCGGAAAGGGCAACTTAAAACTCGGACAGGGTCAAATTGATCTTTAGAGGAGTGCTGCCCTTACGTGGGATAAAATACTGAGAAAATTTCAGTTTAATTTACTGTAATCAATTAAGACAATCTTGAATTTCTGAATTCAGAAGTTTAACTTTTCTACATTTTTTTTTCTTTCGTATAAAATATCAAGAAAAAGACATATAACTCTCAAAATATATGATTACAAATGATGTAAAAAAACAACATCATAAAAAGTTATGTTGATAAAAAAAAACCTATACTCATAAAAAAGGTCTTGTTCTCTATAAGAATTTTATCATTGATAATTTTAGTTCACAAATCAGAACTAATTAATTCTACGATATTAAAAGATTTTTATATGATTTTTGAAGTCTTTTGAATTTTTGAAATCTATGAATATTATCTTGAGAATAACATAGATTCAGTGAATATATATATATATAGGCGATTTAATTTATCAGAGACGTAGCACAAAAAAAAGAGACAAAAATTTTTATTGCCCACCTTTTTATTCATGCATACTGCAATTTCAAACAGTATTTTTGACAATTAAATAATGTATTTTATAGAGAACTTTTTAGGCTATAAAATTCTTTACGCAAAAGTTTCCTTCAACATGCTTAGATTTTTCAAAAAATGGAGTTTATTAATTATTAACGACGTGAATGAGTATGAATATAGAAACAAAAAATCCTCTTGTAATTGAATGAGAAGTTGACATATCAATTCTGAATGATACGAATGCTTATTGAAGATCTCGAGATGATAGTAAAACGAAAAGTCTCATTTTGGAACGTGAGCAGACCTCCGAAAAACCGATTGCTAGGAAGTAATTGATTGGGATCCGATCATGCTAAAATATAGTTTATGGCATAAAGCCTATTCTGAAATTCTTAAACTTGTCTGCCATAAGGTTAGAATTGATGATGGTCATATCCCGTTTTCGCTAATTTCGCCCATATTATAAACAATGTGATAGATTCATAACTTTTACAACTCACTTTATATGAATTACAAAAGAAAAACATTTCTTTCATCTAACCATCACATCTGTGTGTACATGTATATATTAAGGGACACGAAGAGATCATTATCTGCCATATTATCATTCTCATGATATTTTTTTATCTCTTATTGTTTTTGATAAAATCCAATAGTTTTCATGTGAGATATTAATCTATTTTATTATTTATCATAATAGATACTTATCTATTTTATTTAATTAAAAATAAATATTAGAAAAAAATATATTTCTTTAGTTGTATGTGGTTTAATTGATCGTCGAAAAAAAAAACGTTTATTATTTAATGTTAAAGATTCATCATTATTTGATAAAGGTGATATATGTCTTTATGAAGAAGTAGCACGTATGCCACCATTTGCAAGAAAATGTTTAATTTTAATTGGAGCACGTGGTATTGGAAGACGAACATTAAAAAGTCGTTTAGTTGCACTTGATCCAGATCGATTTGGAACAACAAAACCACGTAAATACAAGAAAAACAAAAATAATTTATTTTTCGAAATTTTTAATTATATATTTTATAGATACATCACATTCATTACGTACTAATGATGGGTTAAATGCTTATTATCATATGGATAGAAATGATATGGAAAATGAAATTGAAACAGGTGGTTTTCTTGAACATGGTCTATATGGTGAACATTTATATGGAACAAAATTTGATTCTGTTCGACGAGTTATACAATCAGGTAAAATGTGTGTATTGGATGTTGAACCAACGGTAAGAATAATAATGTTTTCTCTTTTTTTTTCTTACTTTTTTACTTTTTGATAATCTAGGCTTTAAAATTAATTTGTAATAAAGAATTTATGCCATATGTGGTATTTGTTAAAGCACCGAATATGGATTATCTTCGTTACATGCAATATAATGATAAACAAAGAGCAACAAAAATGAGAACAGTTTGTTTCTTTTTTATTTTTATTTTTTAAATGTCTTTTTTTTGTTTTATAGAAAAGTAATATGAGTAATAATTCATCATTGAATTTATCGGTAAATAATAGAAATTGTTTAATAAATTACGATTTTGTGTTTTGTTTTTAATATTTAGTCAAAAGATCTTGAACAAGTTGTTTTGGAAAGTGATGCTTTAGAACGTGACTATCATACTTATTTTGATCTTACACTTGTTGCTGAAGATATTGATAAAACGTTTGAACAGTAAGAAATTATATCTAAGATATTTCTTAGAATTTAAATAAAGATTAAGGTTAATCAGTTTATGAAAATAATAATCTACAAAATGTTCTAAAAAGTATGACGATTTAAGAAATAGAAAAAACTTCGTTATTGATGAAGTTTTATTTTGTAAAGACCAAGTTCATCAACAGTATAGAAAATTTAACACTTTCGGCTACGATTTAAAAATTAGGCTTTTTTTGAATATTTTTACTTGAATTTCTATTGTTATTATGGACTTCAGATCATGCAGATTGTTGATTATTATTTTTTAATCATTTGTTTGACATATTTTTAAAATTATCGACTCATCAATGTATTTCTTCACAGCAGGTTGTTCATTGCTCTTCGAAAATTTTACTAACCGTGGAAACAAATGTGTTACGACCATTTTGTAACTCATTTTGACATTAAAATTAGCTCTCTTGCTTTCTTTTTCGTAAGAATATATCAAAACAAGTGTTTAGAAAATTACGGTAAAAGATTTAAATAAGCGAAAGACCAATGGTAACCATAGAAATTCGAGTAGATATCGAAAAATGCCTAATTTTAAAACGAGAATCGAAAGTATTACGGTTTTTACACTTCCAATGAATTTGATCTTTACAAGTCAAAACTTACTAGTCTCCTATTACAAATAGAAAAAAAAAAGGTTTTGATTAAGCTTGATCAATAGCCCAGTTATCTGAATTTTTCATTACCGGCACCGGTCAGGGGCATATTGAAGATTTTTCCAAGAGAGTTGCACATCAGCAGAAAAATAGTTTTTTGTTTTATGAAAAGGTTTTTTTATCTATGCACTCCTCTGACTACGCTCCTGGCACTGATTGGTCTGAATTCCATACCGATACCGGTTCTATTTCTTGTCACGACTTAGGAGAAGACCTTGTGTAAGCTCAAATTATTTTTGAAGAACAGCCGTATAAATACTTTTTCTTGTAGACTTGTTCGAGCTGTCGAAGCATTAAGTGCTGAACCTCAATGGGTGAATGTTCAATGGTTTTCTTAAATGAACTTGTTTAATCAATATTCTATATTATTGATATGAATAATCAAATTAATTTTTTTTGTACTTGTTTGTATATATATGAAAAGTACTTATATTCATATAAATTTCATACATTCCACTTTTTTTCTATGTGTTCATTTTGTTTTGACTTTTGTGCAATTTAACATTTATCGCTGCGCTTCTGAATGCTAAATGTTCGTTTGTTTTTTTTTAATCTAATACTTATTTGCTTTTTTCTACTTGTAATCTCAGTTAAAAATGAATAAATATATTCCAGTGCCTTTTTTATGGCACCAGTAGAACATATGAGGAT